GTCAAACTCACCTGTAAAACTGGGTAGGCAGTAGTTCTGAACTTGAGGTTAAACTTTGACATGTTCATAGTAGTTTCCTGCAGCGTGATGTTGCGAAGTTCCAGAATATGGCAGCCTGAACCCTCGAATCTCCCCTCCAAACTGTGGTCCAACCAATCTCTTCTGTTTATTTCGAGAGTCATGGCTACTCAAGGTTCCTCTCCTGTCCATGTCTCCAGTCCTGCAGTCTCGTTAGTGACCCACAGCTTTATTTCCTCCGGATCAGCTATATGAGTGACAGAGTGGCTAGATCCTGGGCCAGCCACAAAATACCTTTCTTTCTCATGAAAGAGAAATGCAATTTGGAGGAAGAATAGATTTATTGGATTAAGGACTTTGCTTTTTCACTGTCTTTACTTATGAATCCACCATCTTCTAGCTTCTAGATTTATGGTTAAAATATTTGATGGAACTATAATTTTTTGTTCCTGTTGTTAAGTAATTTGTTATGATTGGTGGAAGCTTGGGTACTTTTTTTTTTCTTTGCATGTGGAATTTAAAAATTTAAGTATAAACTTAAAAAAAAAAAGTTTTCCAGGACCTCAATGAGCTCTTTTTCCTTCAAGTTTGAGTATTTTTTTAGCATCATTTTTTTAAAGTAATTGCCCTTGCTTTCATCTTTGTTTTAAAATCCTTCTAAGGCCCCCAAATTTATTCTCCAAACCCTTTATATTTTTCCTCACGAACTACATCTTTTTCTGTTTGCTCTATGCTCGGAACTTTTCTTCCCCTTGATCTTCCAAACATCTCATTTTACCTCAGCAGTGACTTCCCTTACCTCGCAGTTCCTGTAGACTTTTAAAATGTGAAAATCATGTCGTTTTAGTTACAAGAAGCTTTTTAATCTATCATTCGATCTACTTCTGGCTCTTACAGACACTTGTTTGTGTAAGATGTCCTCTCTCTTTCCCAGGAGATCCATTTCTTCAAAAGTTGCCTGCCAGTTATGGTGTTGAGCTTGCACTTCCTGTTCCTGGCTGTCGAGTCCCACTGGTGTTCCCTTACATGATTCTAGGATCTCTTTTCTTGTGGAAGTTAAGTTATTGTCATTGGTAACAGCTAACCCTAGTGTGGGGGGAATTCTCTCTGTTGGCTGGCATTCTAGTGATCTGCAAGTTTCTATCACTCTACTGGGGGCCTGGGAAGTAATCTCTGTGCTCCCAGCTCTCAGTTATAGCTCTCCCAGGCTCCAGATTAAAGAGGAACCCAAGCCTCTGCAAATTCCCAGTTTTTCCAGCCCTGAGATTATCCCCATAAGACAGCACAGGTGTACAAATGTCTCCCTCCTTCCAGGACTGCTTATAAAGCAGATAAGACCCACACCTCCAACCCCAGCACAAAGCTTCAGGCCTGGCCTCGGGCCTTTGATCCAAGAATCCTTTGCTTCTCATTACTCTTGGAATCAAGCAGAACCTGAAACTTTGCACTAAGCCTGCTGGCCTCCAGACTCTGCCTTTTGGCTGGGTCCCAGCTGCTGCTCTGCCTGACAGTGTACTGAAGTCAAGGTTGGGAAGACAGAGTTGTAGGTATTCTATTTAGGCAGTTCTGGGAAGCCTTCTCAGGGCAAAGAAGGAGCTGATGAATTTAAAATTGAAGGCCTATGACAGGAGTCTGAAAACGTACAACGTATTCCACACAAAATGGTAATGAATGTCAGGAACTAAAAAGCAGAAAATTATGGGGAGGTTGGGAGGAAGAATAGATTTAAAGTGCAGCCTTGACAGGGAAAGAATGCTATGACCAGTGAGTCACAGAGAAACCTTGGAGAAGGGGTAGTGCTATGCCATTTGCTGTTCAGAAAATAAACTCTAGGAAGGATACCTTTGGCCAATATTGGCAGTAGGAAGATCTCAGATTCTGGATTTAGGGGAGATATATACATATATTTAACCTCTTTGAGATTAAAATATAAGGGAGATTGATTATCTATATCAATATCTCCTCTTTGAGACTCAGTGTTCTCATGATTTCATATGTAATTTGTAGTATTCTAGAGGATTTATGACTTAAAGAAAAGCATCAAGCACACAGTAGACATGTAGTAAAGGCTACATTTCTCACTCTTCTCTCTTCCTGTTAGACTATAAATTCCTTGAAAACAAAACTCTGTGTCCTTAGCACTCAGCATTATATAGCTTAATAACAGTTCTTACAATATGAGGGAGTCATTCTGGATACGGAATCAGCAGAAGGGGCTCATGGTGGGGGCAGCAGGTAGCACAGCATGAAAGATGAAAAGACTAGCTATAAGGTGAGAGTAACAAACCATGTCTTCTGCCTCCCTGTGTGGTTTCTATCACACGACATTGTTTCTCCATAAAACTACATTATAAAGGTGCATTATTAAATGTCTTCTTGTACATAATTTGTCACCAATCAAACCATTTCTTAATTCCAGTGCATGCCTTTGAGGATTTTAAAGAAAATCTTTGGGACGTGAATTATTCTATTTTTTAGACATCAACTTTATAGTCATTATACTGGTTACACTCTGATGTTACTGTGTGATAGCAATAGCTGTGATGATTTTAAGATAGGTTCCCCTTCCTATCAGTTATCTGATAAGGCATTTGGACTTACCTTGCAAGCAAAGGAGCATCCCTACAAGAAATACAGGCAGGGAGTTATGGGCCTGACTTACTTTTTTTAAAAAAAACTGAGAAGGGAACAGGGAGGATAGCTGGAGGGAGAAAGTTCTACAGGCAGTGACACAAGTCTAGAAGGCAGAGGAAAGAGATGAGATGACAGTTTAGTATAGAAGCTGGAGAAAGAGTTCAGAGATACTTAAGAGTTGATGTCTTAAGGAAAACTAGCAGTGTTATAATTCTGTTTTAAGGGGGGAAAAAGAGGGAAATAATAAATTGGGTTTGGTGCAGTCAGGATGGCTTTCTAGGTTTTTTTTTTTTTTTTTAAAAAGATGTTTGATTAAAGAGAGCAGTACTTATAATACTGGGTTTGCTTTTCCAAGGTGCTCAGTTAGTTCTTTTTTTTTTTTTCCTGTTTTCATGAATGTCTTGACCTAGAGGGCAAAATTGCCTAGGTCAAAATAGCACTTAAGTATCGAAAAATCACCAATCCCAGAAGAAAAAAAAACACTAAAATGTATGCAATTAACAGTAGTAGCTAAGCATGTCATTTTCACATACAAAGATCAGTTTATAAACTACACACCGTTCAAGAGAAATATATTTTTTCTGAAGAGAAAGAACAGAAGCTATGAAGTCAGTCTTTATTTTTTCTCCTGACTCTATTGGATAATCAATGAACTGTTCTGAGGTGCCTTCATCTGTGAATCTAACTAATCATATCAGTCTCATGAAAGATTTAATGATATAATTCATATAAAGTAATAGAGGTCCTAGCATGTAATATATGCTCCCCGAACATTAACTACTATTATTAATTAATACTACTTCTCAGAGGTAGAAAGGTATTTAGTGATAGAAAGTTTTTACAAATATGGCTGTTACATACATAATATTTATAGTATGTAGATTTGTTGAGACCTAGAGTACTATCTTAATAAATTACAAATATATTATATGCATCAAATATTAATATATGAATTTAATGATTACAAGACATATTATCATTAAGTGATATATAATATTTTATGTTCTCAAAAATTAATGCTGAATCTACCTTTAGCTTTCAAATGTGAGCTTGATATTCTTTTTCAAATTAGAGATCTTAAAATATAAGGTTTTCAAAAGCTCTTTACAAGTTATTAAAACAGAAAAAAAGGAAAATAGAGAAAGAAAATCACATTAATATAAAAGGAAAATTTATTAACACAAAGGACATAAAGCAGATAACATACGTAGTCACTTAAGCTAAAAAATATAGATACAAACTTCCAATTGGATGATCAATTGCATCAAATTTGGGGGAAACACAAAGACATAGTAAAAGTGAACAAAAATAGATTAAATAAAAATATTTATCTTGACAACTGAAATGACAATTTTGACTTAAGAACCCATATATAAGGTAAGAGGGAGTTCACAAAAAAATAATTTGTTTTTATTTTTTGGAGGGCATATAAAAACCAAGATATATTATTTTTCTGTCTCATTCTTTATACTGATAAAAGCCCAAAGTCTTTATTCAAGTAGTTATTAAAATATTCACATATAGATATAATTTCTTGTCAAAATGCATTCTTCTTCAACCACAAAAGTTTAAGAAAAAAAAATATCTTTCCTGAAGTCTTTAATGTTTCTTAGATTACAGTTTTATCTTTCTTCTTAGTATAGCTCTGGAAAGCAGTTTAAATTCAAAGTCCCTTGACAAAATATCTGCCTCTTAGAAGATGTTAATTTAATATACAAGAAAAAAAACAGACCTCTGGTGAAAGAGTACATAGGAGTTAGGAAAATGGGATATCAAAAAGCCATTTAGTTTCCTTTATACAGCTGATTAAAGCCTTCTTTTTGACCTTCATCATAAATCAAGTGCATTAATTGCTAAGCTATTTTTAAACAATTAATATTAACCGTCTTCAATCTTATCCCCGAGTTCCCTGAAAAGCGATAGTTGAATTCTATTTATCCAGTGTAATGGATCAGTATTTCATTTAAAATAGAACCATATAAGCCTGTCTCTATTGATGTGGGATATCAATGTCACTCTCATCTACATACAGAATGCTATGTCACAGAGAAATCACAATTGCAAAATAATAGTATTTAACAATGTCATTTTGAAGTAACCGATAAAAGGAAAAAAATACATGAGCCATTTTAGAAAACTGACTGTACTTCCTAAAACCATCAAAGCACTGTGTATCTCATTCTGCTGAAATAGCTTATAGAATCATAAACAGCTGATGCACAGTTTCAGTAATTAAAGTTCGACAGTTAAGAATGGCAAATCAATGTTCTTCTGGATTCCGTTTTTAGAAAATAGTGCACGTTTTAGTCATTTACATGGCTTTATAGGTAAAGTCAAAACATGCACAACTACACATACTGACTTTTGGAGTATACACTTGGTGACTTCTTTTCCACGTGATAGCTCCTCGGGGTTGTGCGATGGGAAGGTATGGAGTATCTGTAGCTACTGTTCGTTTTGCTGACACAAGAAACACAACAGAATATTGCCCCTGCAGCTATCAGCACCAGCGCCGTGGTCCAGCCTATGTAGAGGGCCTCTCCGAGCTCATGTTTTTGGCCATTTTGCACTCTTGGGTTGTAGAAGTCTCTGATAATAGAATTGGCAACCCAGCTCACAGGGATGAGTACCACAAGGCCTGTGATAATGAACATGATTCCAGCCGTTAGCAGGATATGACCCTTCAGCTTGTCGTTGTCCCCAGTGCACTTGGTACACTTCATGCCAAGGACTGCTGTCATGAAGGTGAGGAAGGACAGCACGGAAGCAGCACACATCAGTCCTCTGGATGCCTGTAGAGCCGGAGAGAGAGCCAGCAAAGAATCATAGATTTTGCACTGCATTCTGATGTTAGCTTGCCTTACACAATTCATCCACAGTCCTTCCCAGATATTTTCAAAAACCACAATGTTGCTTCCAATGAAGGCAGACACTCTCCACTGAGGCATGATGGTGACAGCCATCGTGCCCACCATGCCAACACCACCAAGCGCCAGTCCAGCATACTGCAAAGCGGAGGTAGCCATTATCCTCCAGGATGGGCTTTATCCAACCAGACTCCTGAGCCAGTAGGACTGTGGCACAGCAGAGAACAGTTTTCCTGTAGTAATGAACTCAGAACCCAGTGGTTTTTCAAATAAGAGCTGCTTCGCTTACTTCTGGCTAGATTAAATCCTGTATTGGCTGACTGAGCACCCCCGCCCCCCCATTGACAGGTAAACTTACAAATCAGGTAGGGCAACTTTCTTCGCCAATGAGAGGGGGATGGTAACTCAGGTGTGTCTAAACCTATGAGAGATACTTGGAATGGCTGGACCTGCACATAAACATTCTTTGTACTTCTCAGTTTTCCGAGACAGCAGTACGTTTACCTGTAGCCATAATTATGAATGTTTACACAATCATCAAGAAATGCACCAATCCCTTGTTATATGAAAAGGTACACCTTGTACAGGAAATTCTGAAACTCTGAGTAAGAGCTGCTGTGACCAAAGTATAAAATAAAATACCTGCCTAAGAAATTTGCTAGGACTTGTCAAAATGCCAAAGTGAAAAGAGAGTAGGGGATTGATAGATTCCTCATACCTGGGGAACCACATTCTTTAGGACACATGGGATCCAAGTGGTTTATTTAATTTGTCTACAACTTCAAAGCAGGCTCTGCTAGGTTGAAATCGGGGAACAGACCAAGCCAAAGGACAAAATAAAGCTAAAGTAATTAAATGCACAAGGTTGCCTTTTATGGCACCAAACACATATTGTTTTCTTCTGAGTCAGGAAAACTACCTTTGGTATTTGAACCTTGATTTACCAAAAAAAAAAAAAAAAATTGTATGAGAAAAAAACTATCAAAATTTAAATCTTGATTTATAAGAAAAAATTCATAAAAACAAAAAAAATCTATATGATCTTATGTAGCAAGCACTCATGATAGCAATTAAATGATGAAGTGATTTACAGATAGCTGGCTTATTATGCTGCTCTGTCTTCTTAGACTGAAGTAACTAGAAACCTACAGTGATAAAAGAGTGCTGGGTCTATACAAATGGCTGATGTTTCTAAATAGAAATTTTATAGGACAAGGTCATTATAATCATTGAACTAAACTATAGTAGGTGTTAACTAAACTTGTCTTTAAAACCAAATTTGCAAAAAAAATTCAGAAGCCCCTCAATGTAACACAATTTGAACTGTTCCTTCTCAAAATTAAGATGATGACCAGTGTCATTAAAATAAATAGTCATGTCGATATGAGAAAATTCCGCTAGCAATTACCTTCTGAATATCTCTTTGAGGCCTCTGACCTGTCTTTCCAACCTTCAAGCTGTTCCTTAATTCCTTTCAACTTTACATCATAAAAATTGTTATTTCTTTAAAATTTTACTTCTTTTCTGCTTCCTTGTTCCACCTTAAATCTGAGTATGGGAGAAAGTGTTTCCTGCTCATTTATTAAACTTTGAAAGTTTAATGGCTCAAAAACTCTAAGTGTTTTTTAGAGATTATAAAAACAAAAATGATACATGGTAGGGAGGGGAAGAGAGAGTTGCCAAAATCAACTGTCTCCAAAAAAGAAAGAGGAAGAAATGTATAGTAGCCCAAGTTGTTAACATTTGATTTTCTTAAACTAGACATGTTGGACGTAAAGAAAAAATTAAAGCTTGATATTTACATTAATTTCTTCATTTGTTGACCTGTTAAGGATTAACCTACAATGTGTCCCTTATGGTGACAGAAAATATCTAGCACTTTCTCCTTCAGGCTTATATCAGTTACAGAGGAAGAAATGTATAGTAGCCCAAGATGTTAACATTTGATTTTCTTAGACTAGACATGTTGGATGTAAAGAAAAAATTAAAGCTTGATATTTACATTAATTTCTTCATTTGTTGACCTGTTAAGGATTAACCTACAATGTGTCCCTTATGCTGACAGAAAATATCTAGCACTTTCTCCTTCAGGCTTATATCAGTTACAGATTTGTGGTGAAGAAGGAAACAGGTTAATTTTAGAAAAATCATCTCCAATCCACCAAGGAGAGTTGAAATCAAATCAGCAGATTTTTTTAAAAAAATCTTTAATTGTCAATCTGGGGATAGAGAATGACAGAATTAAAAATCAAAAAGAAATGGCATAACTGATTGAGATGATGACAAATATAAAGAAAATCTCTGTAGGTAATCAAATCAAAATTTCTTTTCCATATTTGTGGGTGACATATTTTTTAGGAGCTCTGTTTAAAATTGCTGAATATACAGATAAAAATGAGAAAACTTGAGACAAATGGATATATTAGTATTTGAGAGTCTGAGTCTTTATGGGAGCTGCCTCCCAGGTATGCAGTGATTTATCTGTTGGCTTTTTCCACCACTAAACTTTCCTAAAGCTCTGAGCGGTACCATGACCTTATTTTACACAAAAATATTTTCCTCATTTCAAAAATATTAGTACTTCCCTACTGAAATTGCCCAGCCAAAAGATTAGGATCAGAACGAGAAACCAACTTTAAATTCACAATAAATAATTGTAGAGCTAATTGCTATTATAGGAACTAACTCAGAGCATCCAGGTAAGTTTCTTATTACACAGTGATCCAGTTAACCCCATAATTATTTGAAATAATTGTGCTCTGAAGTTCACAGAAAATTAGAAAGATGAGGGAAATGGTAATACTAAACTTACTAGGAACAGAGAAGCCTAAATTTAGAGATTAAAAAGTCAAGTTAACTGTTTATCTACTTTTCTGTAATATCGAAATGTTTAACTTGACTTTAAAATTCAGATAGCAGTAATGTTTAAAGAATTTCAGATTGATACCATTTTTACTGTTCTTTAATTCAAAACTACAGAGCAACCTACACAGATTAGTCTATAATTTGTATATCCATTTCTATGGGAGAATCCAAGAACCCAAGAAAGAAAAGCATTAGTCATGTTGACCCATTGTGTTCTCTCTCTGGAGATCTCCCTTTTGTCAACATCATCAGAAGCATAATTTAATAAATTTACTAAATTAAATGCAGTCCTGATAACTACATAATGCATGCAAATGCTTTCTCTTTATAAATGATAACACACAATATCAGTGTCAGACTGCCCTGGTTTTTGTCATTCTTATTCTTATAGCAATTAATCCTTAACCAACTCCTTAGTTTGGAGCTCCTATTAATTCTTATCACTGCTTGAAATAATCTTTGCTTCTGCCAGTCAAGCAGTTGCTAGTTTCTATTGTTTTCTGGATTTGTTTTCGCATTTTTTTCTGTTGTGTTGACAGTTTCAACCTGTATTTATTTTTAATTATTTTCCACTGTTAATTAACTGTACTTGGCTGACTACCTTGTCCTGAGAAAACAAGTGAACATATCAATAGATCTCTTTGTTTGTTGTTCCCAAAATAATACCGTGCATTGCTACACGTTCTTGAACTATTATCCTATTCGTCCTTCATGATGACTAGCTATTTCTGTCCTCTGTTCTCAGAGTTCTGGACCCATTAGTAGTCCTCTATATTCGCCATCTCACTATGGTTTGTATTCAATTGCTCTGCTTAAAAATGAACTCTTTCCTGTGTAGTAATTGTCTAGCATCTTCGTCAGCTTTAATGAAACGCAACAGACTGAGTGGCTTAAACAAAAGAAATTAATTTTTCACAGTTTTGGAGGCTGAGAAGTCTGAGATCAGGGAGCCAGATGGAGTTCTGGTGAGAATCCTTATTTACAGATGGCCTTCTTCTTGCTATGCCCTCACAGGGCAGAGAGTGAGAGAGCTCTATTCTCTTTCTTCTTATAAGGACACTAATGCCATTAGGAAGGCTCCCCCCACATGACCTTATCTAAACCTAATCACCTCTCAAAGGTCCCACCTCCAAATATCACCACCCTGAGGGGTAGGGTCTCAACATATGAATTTGGGGAAGACGCGAACATGCCATCCATAGCATCTAGCTACTAACAAATCCCAGCAATTAAATTCACATAATTCTGAAAGGTCTATTCTTATTGTTTCAAGAGTTCATTTTTGTCTAGAATCAAAAAAAAAAAGAAAAAAAAATGGTGAACATAAGTTAAAAAAAATAGACAGTATAGACAATGGAAATAATGTTTATTGAAATGCTTTAATTTTTCTACATTTTTTTGCATTTTTAACAATTAAAATTTGAGTTATGGTGAATTCTGACATATTTTGGGAGATAGGTCCACGTGCTTTATTGAGTGTGATATATTTGATATTCCCACTAAAGGATTGGAAAAACTAGGGAAACATTTTTAAATTAAGCTATATACTGTAGGAAATTTTTCACTGAATTAATGAGTAATTTCTATGGACAAAATTGACATGAACCAAATTAATTCTAATAAGCTGGGACTTTTTTTAAAGGAGCTGGAATTTGCTAGTAATAACAAAATAGCTACTGAGTATTAAATATTCCTTACGCCACATGTTCCTTATATGCATTATACCCTATATATAAAATATCCCTAGGAGCCTCCTTTTATAATTGAATAAATAAAAATCAGTAGAGACTGTGCTTTTTCTAAGGCCACACAGCTATCACTTGCTGGATCCACAAAAATGGACCTCAATTTTGTACCTAAAACTCATGTTCTCTCCTGTATTGCCTCCTATTTCTCAAAGGAAATTAAGGAAAGAGAATGTTTCATACTGACGTGTAAGGTCAAAATTAATGAAGGAACAAAATTTGCTTCACCACATTTTTGTTTTCCTTGCTAGCACACTGTTAAAATTTATTTGCGTGTGACTTTTTTCCAAATATCCGATTCACTGATATTAGAGATAGATAGATAGATAGATAGATAGATAGATAGATAGATAGATAGATAGATGATAGATATTATATAAATACTCTATTCAGAGACGTTTCTACTGGGGTAATCACATCACAATGATTCTTTATTTAGAGTTTCAGAGGGCAGCCAGTCTGATGTCACCATTGGCACATCTTTCTTATCAATCTCCCATTCTTGTCTCCTTCTTGAGAGGTTGTGAATTACAGACCAGGTCATGCCAG